GTTCTGAGAGTTTCAGCCAGAGCCATTAGGCAAAAGAAATCAAAGAAATAAAAACTGGAAAGGAAGAAGTCAAACTATCCCTGCTTGTAGATGACATGATCTTTTCCATAAGAGAAGCCAAAGGACTCCACTAAGACTATTGGAACTCATAACAGGTAAAGTACTGGCTGGGTACAAAGTCAAATTCACAAAATCAATAGCTTTTGTATACGCAAACGATGTTCCAGCTAAAAATATTTCTAAGATCAGTAGCATTCACAATAGACACACGCACAGACACCACCACCACCACCAACTTAAATATCTTGGAATAAATTTAATAAAGGATGTGAAAGATTTCTACGGTGAAAATTATAAAGCATTAAAGACACCACAAAATGGAAGATTGTTTCCTGTTCATGTATTTGAAGAACTAACATCATCAAACTGTCCATACTATCCAAATCACATTCAATGTGGTTCCTATCAAAGTAGCAAGGAAATTCTTCTCAGATTTTGTACCAAAAAAGTCAACTCAGGTACAGCCTGATATCTTCCATTTACTAACAGGTAACATAAGGGAAACCCTGTAAGACATTGGCAAATACTTCATCAAACTAACACGTTATTGCACTGCAAGTAAGAAGCAACAAAGAGAATGGGAGAAAATATTGGCAAATCATATATTTGATAAATGACTAATATCCATGCTCTATAAAGAGCTCAAGAAACTAAACAACAAAACTATCCAGTTAAGAAATGAGCCAAGGGCCCGGCGCGGTGGTGCAACTGGTATGGACGCCGGTTCTAATCCCAGCAGCCCCGCTTCCCATCCAGCTCCCTGCCTGTGGCCCGGGAAAGCAGTCGAGGATGGCCCAAAGCTTTGGGAACCTGCACCCACATGGGAGACCCGGAAGAGGCTCCTGGCTTTGGATCGGCCCGTTGCGCTCACTTGGGGAGTGAATCATCGGACGGAAGATCTTCCTCTCTGTCTCTCCTCTCTGTATATCCGCCTTTCCAATAAAAAAATAATAAAAATAAATCTTAAAAAAAAAAAAAAAGAAATGAGCCAAAATGGCTGGTACTATGGCTCAACAGGCTAATCTTCCACCGGTTAGTGCCAGCATTCCATATGGACACTGGTTCCTGTGTCAGCTTCTACATTTCCCATTCAGCTACCTGCTTATGACCTGGGAGAGCAACAGAGAGGGGCTCAAGTCCTTGGACCCCTGTACCCATGTGCAAGACCCAGAAAAAGCTCCTGGCTTCAGATTAGCTTAGCTCCCGGCCGTTGAGGCCATTTGAGGAGTGAAGCAGAGTATGGATGATCTCTTTCTCTCTGTAAATTTTTCAAATAAATAATTCTTGAGCCTGGAATGAAAGCCTAGTTGCTAAATCCTCACCTTGCATGTATGAGGATCACATATGGGTGCCAGTTTGTATCCCAGCTGCTTCATTTCCCTTCTAGCTCCCTGCTTGTGGCCTGGCAAAGCAGAGGAGGATGTGGTACAGCAGGCTTATCTTCACTTGGGCTGGTTTTGTCAGTGTGCCTGGGTAAAGTCCCACTTCTGGTTCTAATGCCATTTCCTGCTAATGTGCATGCAGCCTTGGAAGCAGCATATGGTACCTATTGTACTTGGGTTCACCTCTCCTGCATCATGGGAGACAAACAGGTTTTCTGCCTCCTGGCTTTGGCCTGGTCCAGCCGCTGGCTGTGATGGGCATTTGGAAAGTGAACCAGCAACTGTAAGCACGTGTTCTGCTTTTCTAATACACAAAAATATTGGGTAGCTGGAAAGACAAGAAAACTGGTTGAAAATAATGGAGAAAAAGAAATAGGAACATATACATAAAACAATGGCATTGGTTAGAATTCTAGAGTGGGAGGCCCAGTGTGATGGCCTAGCAGCTAAAGTCCTCACCTTGAACACTTCAGGATCCCATAGGGGCACCAGTTCTAATCCCGGCGGCTCCACTTCCCATCCAGCTCCCTGCTTGTGCCTGGGAAAGCAGTCGAGGATGGCCCAAAGTCTTGGGACCCTGCACCCACGTGGGAGATCTGGAGGAAATTCCTGGCTCCTGGCTTTGGATCAGTGCAGCACCGGCTGTTGTGGTCACTTGGGGAGTGAATCATTGGAGGGAAGATCTTCCTCTCTGTCTCTCCTCCTCTCTGTATATCTGACTTTCCAATAGAAATAAATAAATCTTTAAATAAATAAAATTCTAGAGTGGGAAGCGATAGATATCTCTTCAACACATGACTTGGAGGTTGGGAAGACAATGGAGTTTACAGATAGCTACAAAGGAACTTTTCGACAGTTCTGTGAAGCAAAGTATCACCTTAGTGTCCAGAAGGTATACATTATTGCTGCAAGGTACAAATTAACACAAGTAAGCAGCTTTTCAGCAATCCACAGGAACTCAGCCCTGATATTTAAAGGTACTGCCTCAACTCAAACATCACACTAGCAAGTATGTCACCTGAGGCTGCTGTTTCTACAAAAAAGTCAAATCCATGACTTATCCATAGGTTTGTGCAGAAATTTTGAAAATAGTATCTTTAAGTCGAAAATAACAAGTTTAAAATCAACCACAGTCTGAAGAAATGGACAGAATGATTTTATGCATTATTCTCCTTAGGTTGTCATTTTCAAAAGCAGAGAAATGGATGGGTGAATTTTTCTTTGTATGGCGATTTCTCTAGTGCTGTAGGTAGTCTCAGAGCAGAATTTTAGAATTACAAACCAAGAAAAACAAGACGAAATGCTTCTCCATACCGTACAAAAGGAGGTGACCAGAGTTACTTATCTGCGAATTGTGTCCTACCACCTGTGTGTGCCACAAAATAATTTACAACTACTGAACAAGAAATGTTCCAATTCTTAAAAAATAAAATCCAAGATAAAAGGCAAGCACTTGACAATGCTTTAAAGAAGCCAGTGCTTTGTGGGTTTTTGAACATTGGTTACATAGCATGAAGTTGTTCTGATATTCTGTTCTGAAAATAAAGGAACTCGGGCCTGGCGTGGTGGCGCAGTGGTTAAGGTCCTCGCCTTGCACGGCCAGGAATCCCATATGGGCACCGGTTCTAATCCCGGCAGCCCCGCTTCCCATCCAGCTCCCTGCTTGTGGCCTGGGAAAGCAGTCGAGGACGGCCCAAAGCTTTGGGATCCTGCACCTGCGTGGGAGACCCGGAAGAGGCTCCTGGCTTCGGACTGGCACAGCATCGACCGTTGCGCTCACTTGGGGAGTGAATCATCGGACAGAAGATCTTCCTCTCTGTCTCTCCTCTCTGTATATCCGCCTTTCCAATAAAAAACAAACAAACAAAAACAAACAAACAAAAAAAAGAAAATAAAGGAACTCCCACTTAAGTGAAATAGAAATCAGCTTGATGGGCCTGGCATGGTAGCTTAGTGGCTAGGTCCTCACCTTGCATGCACAGGGATCCCATATAGGTACTGGTTCTAATCCCTGCAGCCCCACTTCCCATCCAGCTCCCTGCTTGTGGCCTGGGAACAAACAGTCAAGGATGGCCTCAAGTCTTGGTACCCTGGACCCACATGGGAGATCTGGAGGAAGCTCTTGGCTTCTGGCTTCAGATCGGTTCGGCTCTGGCTGTTGTGACCACTTGGGGAGTGAACCATCGGGATGGAAGATCTTCCTCTCTGTATATCTGACTTTCCAATAAAAATAAAATATACCTTTTTTAAAAAAATAGCGTATCAGAATTTCATTATTACAAGTTAGCATTTTCAAATGCAAGTTCGGGTTTGACCTTAGGGTTGGATGTTATAGTCACCACTGTGATATAATAGACTAAGCTGCCATCATCCCATAGAGCCACCAGTTTGTCTCAGCTGCCTCACTTCAATCCGGCTCCCTGTGAATGACCTGGGAAATGCTGCAGATTACCTAACTGGTTGGCCCTTTCTGGCCATGTGGAAGTGTTGGAGCAGCATGGTGTCAGCCTGGCTTACAACAAGGGGGTTAACCAGCAGATGGAAGCTTGCTCCCTTTGTCTCCTCTTTTCTTTTTGTAACTCTTTCAAAAAAGCAACCTAAAAAAGTCACCTTGAACAGAATTGATCCACAATCATATTACATATTTTTTAAAAAAGATTTATTTATTTATTGGAAAGTCAAACATACAGAGAGGAGGAGAGACAGAGAGGAAGATCTTCCCTCCAATGATTCACTCCCCAACTAAGCTGCAACGGCCGATACTATGCCGATCCAAAGCCAGGAACTTCCTCTGGGTATCCCACGTAGGTGCAGGGTCCCAAAGCTTTGGGCCATCTTTGACTGCATTTTCAGGCCACAAGTAGGGAGCTGGATGGGAAGTGGAGCAGCCGGGATTAGAACCGGCACCCATATGGGATCCTGAAGTGTTCAAGGTGAGGACTTTAGCTGCTAGGCCACGCCACCGGGCCCTTTATTTTATTTTTATTGCCAAGTTAGATATACAGAGGATGACAGAGAGGAAGATCTTCTGTCTGATGATTCACTCCCCAAGTGAGCACAACAGCTGGTGCTGCACTGATCCAAAGCCATGAGCCAGGAATCTCCTCCAGGTCTCCCACGTGGGTGCAGGGTCCCAAGACTTTGGGCTGTCCTCGACTGCTTTCCCAGGCCACAAGCAGGGAGCTGGATGGGAAGTGGAGCTGTTGGGACTAGAACCGGCCCCCATATGGGATCCTGGTGCTTTCAAGGCAAGGACTTTAGCACTAGACCACCATGCTGGGCCAATCATATTACATATTAACAATCACATTCTAATTAGACCAAAAGGCCCACAACCGGATCTCCTTAGTTCTTGAAGAAATGTACAGTACAATAAAATTCTGTTTAAATCAAAGAGGTGGAAATACCTACCATGGATTAGCAACATCCACAAATATCCAGGTAAAGGAAATTACACTAAAAGCGAAGCTACTTCACAGCAAGATTTATTAATACATCCAAAAGAAAGAAAGAAAAATCATTTTGTCACACTATATACAGATAATACATAGAGTTTTATACACATATTACATCAGTTTTTACACAAGAAAAATATACATAAAAATGTAAACTTTTGTATACAAAAACCCTTAAACAAATTAAACAAGAACCAGATAACAAAAGGAGACCAATCCATTATTATTCATCAAATTTTTAAAACAGTAATACAGTACATTCATTGAGATATAGATGGAAATGTGAGCCATCTCTTCTTGTTTAAAGGGAAATTACAAACCAAAAGCCCATCATCTCCCTTGATGCGGTACCCACCGAACAACACTGCATTCAGTGCCATGGAAAGGCCTTTCCAACAGAACCAAGGGTTCCTATCCCCACCTGCCCATCGCCTCATCCTCCTCTACCGTCTGCAGAAATGAGTGGCTCCTGGTTTTTGTGCATATAACTAAGCTTGCAGACACTATTAAATACAGAAATGAAGACGCTCAGTTTGTAAGTTCCCTTTAAGCAGCTTTTTTTTTTGTATATATTTTTAACATATGGCCTGTTAGCATACCTATGTGCCAAGGTGAATGAGAACACTGAAAAAAAGAAATGCTTTGAGAACTGCTAGTCCTTGCTACCATGCAGTTACTTTGTTAGAAGCGATTTTAAAACTGTCCAATGTGGCATTTACTGGTTTCCAAGAAGCTACCTCACCTTTGATTTCCCACTGCAACTTGGTTTTAACTCACACTCCTATCCTCCAGTTAATACCATAGAATTTGTCAGGAGGCATTTTGTTAAAGGCTGCTTCTGATATCAAGTTCCAGCTGAGCTGTTCTGTAAAACTGTTACAACTCCAACCTCTCCAATTCAGCCTTCCGGGGTACTCCACTATTCCTTTTGGCAATGTCTTAGACTTTAGGACCATCTACCACTTTCTCTCTACAAGGTCTTGAGAGATGTAATCTGCCAATTCATCACAAATGAAATATCAAGCGTTTTTCTCTTAATGTTCTTGACTTAATGTTTTTTGCTAAACTGATATACTAATGAAAAATACCTGAAGCTATGAGGAGTAAGAAATCTGTCAATATGCAACTTGGAGTAATTAAGAAAAAGAAGAAGATAAAACCTTTAGGAAGACCTTTAATGAAATAGATGCAATGTGTGCTTAAGATAGCTTCAAGAGAGAGCTAGAGCTGTCTTTTTTCAAAGCTGAATCCTGAACAAGGCAGAATAACAATTAGGTGATATATTTCCCTGCAGCAAGAGAGTAGTTAACTTCCCCCCAGGCAAAATGATCTTAATGATCATTATTTATTAATGAAAGGAAGAGGCAAATTGGTGAATTAAGTTGATCTAGGAGATGGTGGATGACACACACTAATGGTCAGATCAGGATCACTTTTTGACTGAAATAAATAGGCTGGTTCATGGTACATCTCCGTTTCAAAAGGAGGAAAACTGGACAAAGTTCCCCAAGTAAACTTTGTCTCTCATGGGACAGATGGCATTTTAAAAATAAGTCTTTCAGTCAAAACTACATAACAAAAAAGCAAAAGGAAAAGGAAGATAAATAAATAATGTGGATTTCTTTAGATGACACTTTTAAAAATTCTTAAATAATTTCTGATAATGCATTTAAAATCATTACATACAACTGCTATTGCAGTGACAATATTCCAGTAGGGGCAGCATTTGCTAAATGTAAAAGATTGCCATTTAAAACTCATACATGTACATGTGTATATACAGCCATAAACACTATTTATATACATATATATCTAGAGAGCAACACTGCATTGCCTCTGGGTATCTATATCCACTAACACAATATATACGAGACATACTGTGCGAGTGTATACCAAAGTATATGTACACATGCCCAAACATGTATATATACACTTTTTTTTCCTGTGTGTGCATAAGAGCTTTAAAGGCACAATATCTAAGGATGCAAGTTTTTAGAGATGCAGCAAAGTTAAAATATAATGTCTAAATATGAGAAAAATCCAAAGGAAACAGCAAAATTCATTACATAGGAACTTATCAAAGCAGTTTCATCATGAGAAAAATGAATTACAGATTTCAAGAGGCATACATGTGATATTATATGCTTCCCTTAGGTTAGTGATAAAAGTATGATTAAACCACATGGCAAATCAAACTTTAAATGATGGTGTAAAAATAAACATGGCACTAATATCAGTCATAAAGTCCTAATTGTGTTCCTTTGTAGTTTCAGCAGAATATTCCCAAATCACCTTCCAATTGGTTTTGTTTGGATATTGGCTTTTTGTTTGCATTTGAGACAAAGATGACTCCCAGTTCTCTAAATTGACTATGGAAATTTTGACTAAAACTTGTATCTTCTGGGAAAATTTCAGAGATAAGGATCTTTAAAAATAAACAATCAGCAAATTAATGAAATGTGCTTAAGCCAAATGTTTCTAGCTAGAAATGACATAATTAAGTTGTGTGTGTGGAGAGGAACAATTTTGTTTTGAACGCGAGATTGACCAGAAATATACAGGAAGACAGAGTGGAGTGGAACTGAAGCGAGAGTAGAGCTAGAGTTCATCTAGGATAACCAACGGCAAGGCTATAACCCACAGGACTTCCACTTTAGTACGCACTGATGATGTGCTTCACGCTGTCACCTCCATCTTACAGAGTCATCCAGAGTTTGACAAAGTCTGTTTACTTATTATACACACACATTTTTTAGGGAAATATATGTATATAGCTTTTATCTATACACACACATATACATACGTGTATATATAGATTTATACAAATGTATAAATAAACATAATACTTTTCTATCTTTCCATTGACAAGGCAAGTTCACATTCAGCAAAGTGCCACCACATCCCATATACACATCTCTGTACAGATATACACAAAAGGGTCTGTTTTCACCCTTCAATCAGGGAGAATTTATTCTAGCAAATCCCATTAACCAGCAACTGAAGGGAGAAATGGCACCAGTACAATCTCCCTTCTTTCATTTGCATGCATATGTACAAGAAATATGCAGATTTTCCTAAAATCCAAAAGCAAAAGTGATGAGACTAGAATTTGCTACAAAACACATAACTGTAAAAAAGGGCAACATATAGAGCTTTCCAAGGTCCTGACTGTATCTCAAGATGAAGTAAATGAGGCTTCAAAGACAGCTGCAAACCCAGCTGTATTATCAGAAGCTGTACTGACATACTTCAAAGTTTATGATTTCTTAATATTAAAAATAAATGTGACTGGACCAACTCTCGTTTTTACTATTTTAGATGACCAGTCACCCGTTAATGAATGTATCATAAAGTGACAACTGAAAACTCAAAATACAGGAATGCATTTTAAAAATATTCCACATGAATCAGGTAAAAGGCAAGCGAAGCATACTTTTTCCTATAGCCAAAATACAGGGCTGCAGCAAATAATAACACAAATGAGTAAATGTGGCAAATTTTTAGAAATAAAATCACCTCGGTTTTGAAATATGCACGTTGAAATGATCCCACCAACTCCTTAAACATACCAACACCTTCAAAAAGTTCTTTATAAAAGTCCTAGATTCTAACTTCACCAAGAAAAGATGATTGAAAATCTTACTAGCGTATAAAGAAATCTATTACTAACATAAAAAGTTCAAAAGATCTCTGGTCCCTTCGCTCTAACAGATAAACACAGCTCCTGTCTGTCTCTCTCTCCCCCTCCTACTCTTATGTTCAAAAGTGAGAGGCTGGTTTAGAATCTGTTGTTTCTCATGTCAATTTAAAAATACAGCATAAATTAACCCAAAGATTAAAATAAAATGTACATGATATCAGAGCTAGCCTTTTAACATAAGAATTTGGCATATTTATACAACAGAGACAATGGGAAAGTAATTCCATTACCCTTGACTAAACAAATCATATTTCTATAATACATTCAGTTACCATAGCACACATTCATAACTCTCACACACGTGCCCCCGATGTATATTTCTGCATGTGTGTAAAAAGAGAGACACAAACATGCACACGAGTTAATCCTATATTTAAGTCACAGTGGGAATTCCTTAGTGAGGAGGGATAAAAAGTTCCTGAATAAGACACTGAGAATACCTAGATTCATTATTTTCTCTATTTTACTTCCCGACTTACAGAATGAACTGTAAATTAAAGAGTAGATCCATAGGAAATAAAAGAGATCTTAAAAACTTAGTTTACAAATTCCAGCTACAGTAGTTGGAGTTTGCGTGAGCTGTGTATTTCTACTTACCCTGTAACTAAGCTTCTAACCATCGTAAGTGTAAACCACAGATCATTTACTAAACAACATGATTCTCAATAATTCTATGAGTAATAATAAATGGTCTAAAAGGTGTTCTACATTTTGAGGCCCCAGGATATCCTTTCAGTCCATATATCTGCAAGGTAGCAAAGGATAGCTATACACCTTGACACGGCAGAGATCCAGTGTAAAAAGGTGCTTCACTAGGTTGTTTTGTAAAACAAAACAAAACAAAGCCAAAAAAAAAAAGCTCATATATAATTCTTAAGCTATTAAACACATAGGCAACATAATTCATTACACTCAATACAGCTTTAGTATAAAACTTATAATTTATGAGGTGATGTTAATAGCATAAATTAATATACCTTTTTTTCTTAAAATCTACAATAAGTATTCTGAAAGCTCATTGGGGGAAGGAAATTCTTAAATAAAAGTTTTAAAGCTGTGCATGATGGGAAAGGATTCTGTACGCAGAAGCTGAGATGAGAGCCTGAAGGAGAAAGGGGAAAAGTCCTATGCAAGACACTGTGGGCTCTGAAATCAAATGTTTTCTCTTTCTTGCGCTCTCTTCAATGATGAGTCACCTTTAGTTTCTTTTAAAACTATTGTCTTATTTTAAAAACTGCCCTAATTTCCACAAGGAATCCCTGAGACATACTGAATACTATACAGTGAAAAGAACTGTCACTGCTGAGAGGAACTGATTCAACCCTTCCAGACAGCTGAAGACAATGTCAACAAGTGTCCAACTTGCCACCATTTCAGCATGAAGCCGCTGGAGCCAACTGTACTTTTATGATGCAGGCTGCAGTCATTTCAAGGGCAAATCAGTCTATTCCCCAAGTAAAAGCAATGGTGTGGCATTTAGTTGTATTGGAGCCTTCTGCACTGCATGTAGAAAATTTTTCCAAGGGGAACTTTGGGTGCATATAGAACTTACTTCAGTGGTCCCCAGCTTAAAGGAACAAATCAAAAACAGCGGAAGAAGAGGACTCTGTTACTCTTCAGCTAAGACGAGCGCAGGGAGGTTTGTGCACAGACATGTCAGTGCTGCGGCTGGGGAGGGGCAAGCAGGCAGAAGGGGCGGAGGAAAGCTGTGCTGCCCGGCACGGTTTCCCACAAGTGAAGTTTTTATCTTCTAAGAATGCTTGGCAGAATAAACTTGACATCATCAATAACTCTGCCATTCAAACTAGCCAAATATTTGCAACATTCAGGGATACAGGGTAAAGAAAGTCACACCAATTTTGTTCTCTTTTTCTCCAAAATGCTACATTTCCTCTTATTAGCCCTCTGTGATAGACAGGAAAGGTAAGTCAAGGTAAGAGCTGGAGTGAAAACAGGTATTTTGCTCCTTAGAAATAAGGCTGCCTAAGCCAAACCCACAATCGCAGCATCAAGGACACTGGGTATTAGAACACATTAATTATTCATGTATATTTTATGTTTTCTTCCCTCCCTCAGTGGTTGGATGAAAATGCTTAACAGATAACTGAATATGTTCTTCACTGGCATTTTCCTACAAATCTCTTTCAAGACAGTAAGTAAAATGTTACTTTTTGCTACCGGACATGATTTTGTTTCCCTCTACAATGTCCTATAAGGAAAGCTTGTAGGAGTCAAGATATTAAGAAGTCATTAAACCATTTTTCTTTTCTAAACAGTGCAATAAAGACTCAGTTATCTTGAATATATTGGGGGGGGAATCTATGTTCTTTCATATCTACACACATACTGTGTATGTGTAGATAGAAATATTATATATACATATATAGTGTATGTGATATATAGTGTGTATATATGTCTATATGTTATATATATACCCCCAGAATTTTTTTTTTTTCGGTCAAGAAAAACATCCTTGGAACCATGGAGATATTGGCAATGAGAGAGATACAAATGAATACTGTTCAGCATGATTAAATTTTCTTTCAAGGAATCCTCTAAATTGCCTCATCAAACTACAGTTTTGTTAATAATCATTTGGTAGACCATTCCATTATTCTTTACATACCAAAATGAGAATAGAATAAAGCAGAATTTTAGGAGGCTAAAAAAATAATACAGAAACTGAAAACTAGATACCTAAAACAGTTTGTCATGAATATCAAACTCTTGAAACCGACCCACACACCTTTTGAACTAACATGCAGCAAAGGCCACAGCCCCACAAGCATGGTCGGGAAGCAGGCCACCTGCAGCTGAGCCATGACTCCATGGCAGAGGCAGGACCATGGGCAGGAACCCGGGAGCCTGCAGCCCGGCAGTGATCTGCACCAGCTCTCCATTGCCGTGGGAGCTTTTTCCCTGCAAGATGCACCTTTGACACTGGGGTATGAGGTCCTTGGTTGGGGTGAGTTCTGACAAGGAGAAGCTGTAGTGTTCATCACAGAAAATGATGACCTAACCTTCAGTTGACAGACCAGGCTTATTTAAGAAGTGACTCATAAACAGGTATTTGGCAGAGAAAGATGAACTTTCTTTAGCCTTCAGCTACTAATGACAGTAACATCAATTTTTTAAAAATGGTAATTTTTTTTCTTAAACTTGATTTTCATAGCTACTATTTGCTTCTCATGAAATTATTATCATCTTATAGGGGGACACTAGACATACTACACCACCTGTCAAACTTGAAATGACCCAGAAAGTCTCTTATAAAGCAGTTGTATCCACATGGTGAGCTCACTAGAGAAGACAAGCCTTCGCTGTATAAGATATGTCACGATAATTAGAAAACTTCCATTGCATAGTCTGTCACTCGGTGTAGGTTAAGTTACTGTCAGAGTTGTTTTGGAGCTATATAACCTATCCAGATGTGCAAATTGCTAAGCCATTTTTACAGAGGAAAATATTATGTCTTCAGCATTTTTATTAAAATACTATGAACAGCTATTTAGAGACAGTGAGGGAGAGAAAGCCCATCTTCTCTTCAGATGCTGTAGTTCCGAGTCAGGGATTATCACATATTACATTGGAATTCAGATTCACAGGGGACAGAATGTCCCCATTAACTGCAGCAACTCTGGAAATTAACTCACAGTAACACAAGCTAACTGGCCTTTAGAAATGGTCCCAAACAACTGCAGAAACAGAGTGAACCTCCTTTGACACTATTTCTCATACACTTAACCCCAGAATAAAAGCTAGTTTCCAATAATTAGAATCTTACAGAAGATTTGTTTTTGATTCCAGTATTGCCTTATGATAGCTGAAGTGCTATTTTAAAAGATTCTACTTTTCATATTTCTGGAATAAAAGACACTTCATTCCTTTCGTTATATATCAACAGCATTACTAATAGACTAGAATTGCTTCATTAGCTAGAAGAAAACGTAATGGCATCTCTGGGCTTACAGATGTTCTCTCTTCCAAAGAGGGACTCCCAAGAAACAAGAGCAAAGCAAACAGCAAGCTTGGATGTTTGATTTGAAGGAGATGCAATGAGTGTTTTTTTTTGTTGTTGTTGTTTTGCTAAGTTCTCAACCCTACACTGGTACTTTCTAAGACTACCCTTTCCTCAGCTTTCACCCTGGGCATCTAAACAAAACTGAATTGACTCAAAGTTTTTGGTGTGAAGCTGTAACTGACAACATTCCTGATCATTCCATGCCTCCTTACCAGAAAGCAGAGAAGGGCTTTTAAATGCACATGAAACAGAAAATTGCAAACAATAAAATGTGCAACTTACTGCAAACTCAGTTTTCATAACTGAAGAATTTTAAGCAGCTAACAAGAGGGAGATATAGCCAGAAAAAAATTCAAACCGACTACCTACGATTCCCTTCACTGTCAGAGGGTCAGTAAGGAAGTCGACACACAGCTCTGCTACAACCTTTAGGTTAGTGCACAAGGCAGACTACACCCAATAGCTGGCAAGGGACAGTTCTGTAGGGATAATTACATTGGGACGTGAATATAGCTCAGCAAACTAAATGACACTTGGAGCAGACGTCACCACTCTTAATCATTTCATTACAGTACATTAAAATAAAAAAGGTTATTAACATGGGTTTACAGGTGAGTAATGTTCAAATTATCTATTCTCACCATTCAGAATAGAAATTTATGGCGATACCAAATATAATTTTGCTTTGTGACATAATTTATAATTTAGAAATTTCTCAATCTGCAAAAAAGGCAAAGATATTAAAAAATAAATCTTCCAATCAATTATCATGATTAAAAAAAAGCCTAAGTATATTACAAACATATTTTTGGCCCAAAGGAAAAAACTTTCAATAAATACAAAATAGGGCATATAATGATGACTTCTACAGTCATGTGACATTTCCCCTCTTTATCAGGCACGTGGTATCTGCATAATGCCTGCTGATCACCATTATTCCTTTAAAAAGCAGAGAAAGAAAAGCTTTCAAAAGAAGGGACTGGTTAGAACTAGCATGGCATAAAGAGAATACATACAGGAAGTAGGAAAATACATCCAAATCTTTACCTATGAGAAAGAATTAAAATCAAATATTCCCTGACAAATGAATTATTGTACCACATCATTAATAGATGTCTCTCTACTTATCTTTTAAAATATATATATATATATGTGTGTGTGTGTGTGTGTGTGTGTGAATTAGGCTAGACTCAGGTATAAATAGCCAATGGTATCTCAAGGGACAGTGAAACTTCTTAGCAAAAGCAGAGTAGAGATGCCTTTAAGATCTTTACCTCTAAGATCTTTACGCAGGGCAGCGGGAAAGGCAGGCAAGAAGAAACCTCACATATTCATTTCATAGTCACCAACTTGCTAAACTACCCAACATGATTTTAAACTCTAGAATCCTGGTACTTTAAAAAAAAAATTTCTTGAAACTATTTCCAAATTCGGATTTAAATTATTTTAAAAGTACCAAAGAGTAAGGTAAAATTTCTGTCTAACTTTCATATTCTGCTTTGAAAGAAAATTTAAAATGTGCATCCTTCAGATATTACACATCACTTCACAACTGGTTCACTGATTCTACAAGTGTCTTCAACATTTTACAAATCTTACCAAGGAATCACTACTGTAAACATGAAAAATTCAAAAGCAAAAAGTGGATCAAGGAATTCACAGATTTCATCTTTCAAATCTATCTGACCTATCCTGTTTTTTCACATCAAAATATTTTCTTTAATTACATCTCACAAAGGTATTTCATGACAGAGAATTAAAAAGCAAATGTATGTCTAAACAGGCCAAGTGACCACCAGAGCCCAGACCTTCTTCAGCCCGGCCATCCCTCCAGGCGAAATTTTCATGACACCCCTACACCGCCAACATAAATTCAGACTTTTGTGTTCCGTTTCTTCTTGGGTCAACGTTTAGCAGAGAAGGGTTGTGCTATTCACATGATTAGACTGCCACCTTCCCTAGTCAAGAAACTTCAGTTAACTGGGTGGGGAATATGATCATCCTTACCAGGGTTGTGAGATGCAGGAAAGGAAAAAAGAGCCTTATACTTATTTTGGCAGGGGGGGTTGGGGAGGAAGGGAGAAACAGACACAAAGCAAGCCAATGCGAGAGTTGCTTCCTGGACTGCATAAAAAATGTATGTGTGGGCGTACACATAATCACAGGCGGTCAAAGATGAATTCTTTTCATTAAACACAACTGCAAATGGGAATGGCAGCCTGGCCTCACTGCAGTGTTTAACTGTTAGTGCTAAGTCCCTGCCCTACCCTGCCTCCTGTACATGCCACCTGCTATCTCCTACCCAGGAACTCAATCAATAGGATCATTTTACCTAGAACCACCTATGTAAAAATCTGGCAATAGAATGGAAAGCACTGATTTGAATATAAGGAAATAGTAAAGGGCACTGATAATCTGAGGTATCTTCCACTTCTAGGACTCGCTGCTGAAAATCAATCCTATCCAGTCATCGTGTTGAACCACTGGGACTGAGTGGACCTGCCAGGAGGGAATGAGCACCAGTGCTAAGGAGCACACGTGAACACTGAAGCAAGGTCCACCGCAGGGCTGGCTGCTTGTTGAACTGGGAACGGGTGCCCCTCGAATCCTCATAGCATATTTTAAAAATCTTCTTAGGAAAAAGGGGCAGGGATGCTAAAGAGGAAACAAAGATAGAAAATGCCAGGATCCCCACCTGCCTGCAAATGCACAGACACGCTCAGTTAGGGGAGGGAAAGGGGGAAGATGCATTATTGGTACTTGTAGCTGTGGCACCTGTTACTGTGAAGCCTGTGGGAGGGGCTATTGAGCTGTGGCTGGGCTGCAGGTCCTTAGGAATGCCACTGTGAGAACTCAGCTGGTGGCCGAAGGCTGCGCTGAACTGAGGGAGTTGCTGCTTGGGAGAGGTGGAGGCCATGAGTTCAGCGGAAGGCCCCATGCCACTGAAGCTGGTCTGTGGCAACCCCGGAAGCACACTGGAGCTGCTGGGGGTCGCGGTGGCGAAGGCAGGTTGTGTGGTCTCTGAGTTCGAAGTGGTGGGTGGTGTGGAGAGGGAAGTGGAAAGAAGATGTCCATCTGCGCCGAGAAGGTTGCTAAATGGAGAGGGATCTCCAAGGTTGACAGGGAGATTGCCCCAGTGAGTTCTGGGGTTCACCACTCCTCCAAGTGGCACCTCGAGTTGGGTTGGAATCAAGTGCTGCGCCATGATGGGCATCTCTGCTGAAAAGGTAGCTGCCATATTATCACCAGAGTAGGATGTTGTATGGGGAGATGTGATGTGGTCACTGTAGGGAGACGGCACGTGCTCACTGTCATAATGGCTTCCATGGGGCGAGGAGTGTGAATGGTCACTGCTGTATTGCTGTCGTGAGGTGATTAGGTCATCTGCCTTGCTCAGCAGCTGGGCAGGATGTGGCCTCTGGGAGGCATGGCTGCCATCATGAAGTCCATGAAACTGTCCTGGGAAGGCTCTCTCCCCAAGTGCACTCTGGCTGATCAGAGTGGCAGAAGTAAGGCCAACGTTGGCTGGGGCAGAGAACTGCCCCTGGATCTGCCCTGCCAGGGGTGTAGGTGGGTTAGACAAGGTAGCAGAACGGAGCAGGTTCTCGTCCAGCTCTAGACTAGAAAAATTATCGTGTACTATGCGCCCATTCAGCAGCTCTCCTAGGTCCGTGTTGACTTCTCGGCTCAGGGACTGGATTCCTGAAGCTCCAGTACCTGTGGAGAATACCCCTATTCCTCTATCTGATAACTCCTGGACTGGCACACCATCTGACTGGGTAAGTACCCCAATGGTACTCAGGCACTCGAGAGAAGTTACAGCCTGCAAGGCCCGTTCAAGCTCCTCAGCCTCTTCGGTAGTCGGGAGGAGGTCTCCATTCTTTCCTGAGTCAACAAAAGCCATCAAGAGTCAGTAGAGCTTTGATATATTCTATTCACAATTGCACAATTTCTTATATCCTTTTACCTCTCAATCTTTTGCCATTCTTTTTTTTTTTTGTAAATATTTATTTATTCTTATTGGAAAGGAAGATTTACAGAGGAGACAGAAGAAAAGATCTTCCATCCGTTGGTTCACTCCACAGGGGGCCACAATGATCAGAGCTGAGCTGATCCGAAGCCAGGAAACAGGAGCTTCTTCTGGGTCTCCCACGTGGGTACAGGGTCTGAAGCCTCTGGGCCATCCTCAACTGCTTTCCCAGGCCACAAGCAGGGAGCTGGAGGGAAGCGGAGCAGCCAGGACACAAATTGGTGCCCATACGGGATGTGTGCAATATGAGAATGTAGCCTCTGAGTCATCTCACTGGGATCAGCCTTTTTTCATTTCTAATTAAAGTTTATAAAATGGAAGCCCATTGATCCATCTCAATTTTATTTCCAATAAATAAAAGAAATCTACTTTTGGGCTGGGCACTGCAGCATAGTGAGTAAAGTCTCTACCTGTGATGCCAGCATCCTATGTAGGTGCTGGTTCAAGTCCTGGCTATTCCATTTCCAATTCAACTAATGGCCTAGGAGCAGAGGAATATGAACATGGCCCAAGTGTTTCAGCACAGCCCAACTCCAGCCGTAGCCATCTGGGGAGTGAACCAGTGGATTGGAGATCTGTCTCTCTGTAATTCTGCCTTTCAACTAAATTCACCTTTTAAAATTAAGTCTACTTTTATAACTTAAAGATATCTAATGTGTAATGGCAAAAGAAACATTCTAAGAGTAAAGAAGGGAAAATCACTGAAGAATAAGTGGGATTAAGTAAACTTTGTATTGGAAAAAGTATCCTTCAACTTCTATACAGAGTGGGTATATATATATATATATATATATATAAAGCACATGAGATGTGCTTTAAGTGGGTATATATATATATCCCACATCTCATGTAACTGTTTTCTTTAATACATACATTAAAAACCTGCTTCCTTAGATCAAAATATTGACCATACCTTCAAAGAAATCAAAATCTTGTAAGTCGTCAGGTAGCCGTGGCAAGACGTCTGAAAAGTCTTCCTGGTTCAATTCCAAGTCGTGTGGAATGTCGGTGATCTCATTGGCAATGTCATCCGGCAACTCATCAGCACTCAGCTCAGGTGTGGATGGGCTCCTGGCAAAGACGACCACTTGGTACCACTACTTCCCTTACAGCTTCACACCAGACAAGCTCATCGAAAATGCAAAGAGCCTAATGCCAGGTAGGTTTTCAAATATTTAATGCCAACAAGGGAAATCCCAACTTAAGATGTGTCTGTCATTATTTTAAGAGAAAGAATTGTGAAGGCAGAATCATTGCAAAAAGACAGACTCCGCTATGAGCACTCACATTTCTGTAACTTTTAGCCATTTACTAAGAGAAAACAGTAAGTAAGGGTCTTTACTTCAAATTAGCACAATGAATCACACTTTAACAGTGCGGCAATTCCTTTTAGAATTTTAAAAATTAAGTTCTAAACAGGAAATAAACAGTTAAAAATCTAAATTTTAATTAAAATTTTAACTTTGAGCTGAGACAGAAGCCTAATTCATCAAGTGAAAATGCTTAATCTTTTGGCCAAAATTAATAACACACCACATGTTTGATGTGCTCTTTCTATTGGAATATGTATGTAATTTCTATTCAAATAGAAAACAAATTTGATCATATACAATTAAAAATTCTCAGTTTCAGAATCTGCTTTATTTTAGATGCAACTCAAAGTAGATACTAAAATTTGTCCCCCAATCTGGACTGATTCACAAACGGCTTCTGAAGTCCTAGAACCAACACCACGATAACCTTGTGACGCAGAGAGAAAGCCAACCCCAGTGCCACTACTGACCGGATCTGAGAGGCCTCCACTGGCAGTGAGACGCTGGTGGGCATGCTGAGGTTCCCTTGTGGGACTGCAGGGGGGATGGGTTTCTGGGGTCGACGAGGTCCACGCCTTCTCTTCTTCTTGTGTTTTTTGGTAAGAGCAGGAGGCTTGGTTTTTTTCCTGGGTTTCCTCTGCTGCTGGTGCTGAACTTTACGGGAGTTATCTCCTCTCAAGAAATTATCCTTCAAGACAAACAAATGGGTTTTAAAAACCAAGATTATGGAGGGAAAATAATCTGTTGAAAAATATTTTTGTATTTCTTAATACTTTAGCCAACACCTGAAACTGCACATGAGAATATGAAAAATATTGATTTAACTCACATCAATTTAACATTGAGTTCATCCTGCAAATAAGGCCAGTGTAGTAAGAAGTGTCATGGTATCAGAGAGAGAAAGCAGCAAGCTGTATTCTCAAAAACTTGCTTACCTGCTTTCCCAGGGAAATTTCTATGTGCACATGTATGTATGTATGTGTACATAGATCTAATACAGTGAAAACTAGTCAAAGATGAAATGAATATCTCTTCGGGATTCACAAAAGGAAAATTATTTCCAGTTTTGAGAAATGTAAGGATAATACGTAAGACTTTAAATAGCTGGGAAAAGGTGAGGATCACTTAGGACTAAAGCAAATGTCACAAACATAATCAACCCAAATTAAATGGTTAAGGACAAGGGGAATGGAAATGCAAAAGAACCTTTGCAAAAGAATTCTCAAGAACCAACAGCTGCTTGGACATACTGGGGATGAAGGGATAATAAAGTTAGAAAATATCTCCAAGGTTTCTGCTTTTGGTGATTGGTGCATGATGGCAACATCAGTAGGTTTGGAAGAGAAGTTAGGAATTCATTTCAGCTAATATATAGTTTGAGATATGCAGATGTTTAGGGAAGCAGAAGAAAACATCTAGTGCATGGAAATTAAAGAAAGGGCAGGGGATGTAGACTTGAAAACCCATGACACATTAAAAGTCCTTCAAATAATGTCCAGGGGTTGGGGAGAGAAGACAAAAGGAGGGGACAAGAAGGACACAGAGTATACCTGCTGCGTTTCAGTGAGCGCGCAAAGGGAGAGCAGTCAGTACAGAAAACAAGAAGCTTCCATCGTGTCATAGAAAGAACGCTGTGTGCCTCCGTACGATGGTATGGGAGGGTGACGCCTTCACTAGGACAGTGGAGCCTGCATGAATGGGATCTGCACCCTGACACAAGAGGCCACACAGAGCTGGCTCGCCATCTGTTACGCAGAGATCTTGGGTTGGGAGGCTGCAGCCTGGAGGAGGGCCCTCACTGGAACCAACCATGTGGGTACCCTGCATTCAGACTCTTCTGTAGTTTAGAAACCACCTGGTCTCTTGCACACTAACCAACAAAGCTACCACCTTCCATCAGTCTTACTGTGTACATCTTAATACCTCTGCATCAATTTTATAATTGTTGCCATCTTACAACCTCTGTCTGCCAGGAGATGGTCATTAAAGGTGGAAATTGCCCACACATGCCCAAAGCAGGCTACAGTTCTTTGTACTGGCATCGTTCAAACTGAAGTATAGGCATTGTTGGTACTACATGTGGTGGGAAACTATTTGTGTTTGCAGAAAGGCACTAAGAGCAATAAGGGTATAAAATTGCTATTAGTGGAGCAAGTGGTTATTACTGAAGAACTGATTACTTAAGTTTTCATTTTTTGCTAAGCAACAACAAAGTGATAAAGACAAATAACAAAGTAGATGAAGTTGTGTTATAGCTGACATGGGGCTAGAAAATGCTGCCTTTTACATGTCAAGTGGTACAGAAACCTTAATGATCCAAAGATAAAAATCTATATCAAAGTAAATTTTAGCAGCACTTACAATAAAAAGTAAAAAGCACAAATTCTAAGAAAGCATTGCATCATTAGCAACATTTTTCCTTCTTTGGTGATATCTAAAGCTGGACTTTTGCAGTTGATGCCATCTTTGATTCAAAGCATTCAGTGGTAATTCACAACTAGATACATTAAAAGATCAGACAACAACAAATCAAGACAAATAAGAACGAATTCAGGACATCCAAAAAACTGTAATCCTATTCAAAAACTTGAATGCAGGAAAAAACATGGTTCTCCTAGGCTGATCCTCTGTAGCCCTGCAATATTTCGTAGTCTTACATCAGGCATGCCACATGGAACTGCCCATGATCTACACTCTGCCTTGCTCTTGACAGCCCCTCATTTAGTCCCTCCAGAGAGCTTTCCCACTGCCTGGAGCAGTGGATGGGGAACTTTTATTCTGCTAAAGGTCACTGGGTACTTGTAACATCAGTCATAGGACTAACAGCATCATTGACTTAAAAATTCACATGCTATAAACTTACTGAATTTCAGGTCATACATGCACTTGCCTTTGGACAGCCAGACCAAACACTTTCATGGACCATAAATAAGCCACAGGCTGGACACACCTTACTACTCCTGTGCTAGAGGCTTGGCTGGCAACAAGTGCTCCTTATCTAGCCTTAGTGAATACTAGAATACCTTTCACCTCCCACTTTCTCACTGTCATATTCTACCTTTACATCAGGACAATGCACTTGACTGCCTGCTGCATACTGCATGCTCTCCTTCCTGCCGGAACCTCCAGCACTGCCTGCAGCGCGCACTTCCTGTAGCTTAAACCTTTTCTGCCAATGGCCATCTCATTGCAGAAGTCTTTCCCAAGTGCACAACCATTAATCTATCTATCCATTTCTTACTGAGTCATCTCTGCTCTAAGAACGAAGCATATAGTAATGAAGAAAAAAGTTCTTGGTCTTGTGAAGTTTACATTCTGGAAGGGTAAGACAACAAACAATTATTCTCATATGTTAGGTTAATCGTAGGAAGAAAAAGCAAGCACAGTATACAGATAAAACTGATACAGAACAGGGAATTGGAAGACTTTTTTGGTGAGACACTTCATTACAGGCCTGAATGAAATGAAGGTGGGAGCTGCCAAGAAGCTTGGGAAAAGAGCATTCCAGCGAAAGAGAAAAACCAAGATCAAAGACCCTGAGGCAGAAGCACACTCTGTGTTTACACAGCAGCAAAAAGCCAGCATCTTGACAACTCCAGGATGAGGAGGGCGAGAGAGGAGGGGAGGTAAAACAAAGCACAAGGGCCACACCAGAAAGGGCCTCATGGACTGTGGTAAGAATCTGGATTTGCTTTAGATACGAAAGGGGCCTTGATCAAGCTTATTGAAAGGATCGGACATGTATTCCAAAAAGCCTGCTTTAAAGGCTAAATTATGCCATTTGCATTTTGAAAACTGGGTGCAGAAAACAGACTAAGACTGAAGGGTAAATTACAAAGCAGTAGTATAAATGTATTGAGGCAGGGGCCAGCATACCGCTGTGTCTTGGTTTGAAAGTCTCTGTTGCAGACAATCAAAGGCAAGCTTACCATTTTTTTGGCATGCTCTTCACACAGGGGTGTCTGGTGTGTGATGTCAAAAACGGGCACGGAACACTGCTGCCCGTCTGCGAACTTGGCCGTGCAGCTTGAGAAGAGCTGCTGGGAGCGATTCAAGAGGATATCTGGGTTTTGTTTATAAGAAAAAAACACACTGAAACCATGTTATTTTCCATTTCCTATATATATCTTGTTTCTCCCTTTAATGATGTGCAATTAAATATAATTTTTATTATCTATAAAAGCTGAAGTACTAGCTCCGCTACTGACATAGAAGCATGATAATGGTTGAATTTACCATCATTAGCTATCTGGTATAAATACTTCTGAAAAAGTCTATTCTGCTCTCAGCTCCCAACAGCAGCCTTCTTTATGACCATTCTTGTTTCTCTTTCTTTTGCCTGAAAATTTATTTATCTTTACTTGAAAGGCAGAGTTACAGAAAGGAGAGACTGAAAGATCCTCCATCCAGGCACTTGGCGCCGTGGCCTAGCAGCTGAAGTCCTCACCTTGAACGTGCTGGGATCCCATATGGGTGCTGGTTCTAATCCTGGCAGCCCTGCTTCCCATCCAGCTCCCTGCTGTGGACTGGGAAAGCAGTTGAGGACAGCCCAGAGCTTTGGGACCCTGCACCTGCATGGGAGATCCGGAAGAGGATCTGGGCTCCTAGCTTCGGATCGGTGCAGCACCGAATGTTGTAGCCACTTGGGGAGTGAATCATCGGACAGAAGATCTTCCTCTCTGTCTCTCCAACTCTCTGTATATATCTGCCTTTCCAATATAAAGAAATAAATCTTAAAAAAAAAAAAAATCCTCCATCCACTGGCCTACGTGCAAATGGCTGCAACAGCTAGAGGTAAGCTAATCCAAAGCCAGGAGCCACAAACCTCTTCCAGGTCTGCCACATGGGTACAGGGTTCCAAGCACTCAGAGCATTCTCCACTGTTTTCTAAGGCCAAAAGGATCCTTACTGGGACAGAATTGAAGCAGCTGGGACAAGAACAGGTACCCATTTGGGATTCTTCAAAGTGGAGGATTAGCCTGTTGAGCAGTAAACAGTACAGACGGCCCCATGGCCATTCTATAAAGCAGATACTGTCATCTGGGGAGTCATCTCCTTCCTATCACAGTATTTCCTGGAAATTCCCTTACAATGGTTTAAAAACTTTTACAAGAAAAACTTCCTGGGGTGGCATTTGCCCTTGCACTTAACACAGTCACATCCTCCAACACAGTGCCCAAGTTTGAGATCCAATTCCACTCCTGACTCCAGTGCAGGACCTGGAAGCAGTGGGGATGACTCAAAGTTACTGGGTTCCTGCAACCTACATGTGACACACAGGCTGAAGTCCCAGCTCTCGCTTCAACTTCCAGCAGCACATGGGCATCCAGGAAGTGAACGCTCTCTCTCCACTCTGCTTCGCAATAAAAATTAAAACAAAATAAAATTCAATGATACAACCTGGGACTGGCACTGTGGCATAGCAGGTAAAGCAATTGCCTCTGATGCCAACGTGCCATACGGGTGCTGACTCGAGTTTCTACTTCTCCGTTTCCCATCCAGCTCCCTGCTAGTGGCCTGGGAAAGTACCGGAGGATAGGTCAAAGCCTTGGGACCCTGTACCCATGTAAGAGACCTGGGAGAAGCTCCTGGCTTGTTTTGGACCAGCCCAGCATCAGCCAATGTAGCCATTTTGTAAGTGAACTGCATATGGAAGCTTTCTATCCTTTCCCACTGTAACTCTGCCATTCAAATACATAAACAAATCTTAAAAAAAAAAAAAAGAGTATAAAGATATAATTATAAAATGCTAATCTGTTCTACTTTGAAAATCTCATTTTACTGTCGTAAAAGCTCAAACTTAACGAAAACCTAGTTTTAAATCCAAATTTTACTTTTAAATTTGCCAATGTCAACTTTATATCATCATCATCTTTACGCACTCACACATTGAGCCATTACATTTCCTTCATCTGTTCAGGGAAGACATTGGCTGTTTATGCAGAAGGCAGGATAATAAAGCCTTTACTACACAGGGACAACTGCTGAAAAAGCTGGGAAAGTGCAACTCCAAGAACAGAAAGGAAGGCAGAAATCAGACAGTAAAGAAGAGCAATTGACACTATCTAAGTTGTTTAAATGTAATCTCATTTTCAGTATTTAACAGAAGTGAGAGGAATGAGACTTCATGAGCAGCCTGAAGCGCCCCAGCACGGTTTTACTCGTTTACTATCCTAATGCAACTTCCTCCTCTGTGATGTCTACTTCCTCGGACTAATTACAAATCAACACTGTACTGGCTGCAGTAGCAGGTTAATCTTATAGAAAAAAAGGTACCTAGAGAACTGTGGGACTGTCTTGAAAGATGAAAAACAATTTAAAATCATGGGATGTGGCTTTTTTCCCCATCGGTGTTAGAGCTGAATCTTTCATGCTACCTGACAAACCAGATTTCTATTAATGAGCTATAACTGACAGCCAATGAAAGAACCTGCTCCTTCCTGTCAATCTTGATTATTTTGTTGTGATTCTTGAATGAATAATGACAATGATATGAAGCAGAAAAAAAATTACTCAGGATTCCATGAAAATCACAAGTTACATAAAAAATGATCTTAAACATCAGTTATAATTTCAAAAGCTATTAACTGGCTTTAAAAAATGAAGTACCCAGTCCCAGATGAGTGACTGGGTTTTCAGTGCACGTTCAAAGGATACGTTGAAAACAGTGCCTGGTGAATGGAAGGGCTCTGTTAGTGCATGGTTCCCCCTTCACCGTTCCGCTGCATGTGGCTGCTTCCGCCTCCCTTAACGTGGTCTGGCTTAAGCTAAGGAAGAAAAGAAAGACAAAATTAATTTTTTAAAAAAATGCTTTAAAAATTCAGGGTAAAGTTTCAATATTATGTTACCACTCTTAAATACCCACTTTTTTTTTTTTTAGAATTTAAATTGTTTTTTTTTGAAACTCGGATTTATAGATGAGACAGAGAAGATTCCTCCATCCACTGATTCACTTGCCAAGTTGCCACAAGGGCCACAGCTGAGCTGATCAGAAGCCAGAAGCCAGGAGCCTCCTCTGGGTCTACCATGCAGGTGCAGACTCCCAAGGCTTTGGGCTGTCCTTGACTGCGTTCCCAGGCCACAAGTAGGGAACTGGAACGAAAGTGGAGCAGCTGGAATGTGAACCAGTGTCATATGGGATCCTGGTGTGTGCCAGGTGAGACCTTTAGCCACTAGGCTACAGCGCCCACCACCCACATTTAAACTACTTATACTATCTTCAGTCATGAAATAAAATGTAATTATGAGTTAGAGAAAGCAAATATTATTACAATTACCAAACATGTTATTTCTCCAAGCCATGACATTCAAAGCAAATTAACCAGCTGAGAAGAGGCTGTAAGTGTCTGTTTCTGTTTTTATTTTTAAGGGATATTTTGGTGTCCTTTTTGATAAAAGGAACAAGAGACAGAAAAGTGATGAAGAACTTGAGGCTAGAATTGAACACACTTAGATCTGAATGTGTTCTACCTGTAACTAGCTGTGTGACCCTGGGAAAACTACGTAGCCTTCCCTTACCATGTAACATGCAGACAGGGCACTTCACACCATCAGTGCTACTTCCAGCGTGGGAAGATCCAGCACACATCTCAACCACTTACATACAATATACGCTGTGAGAAACACTGAACCGTGACTTTTGGTCATAAGTCACAAGGATTTGGTTCCTGTCTTTATCCCTAATTAGTCAGGTCCCTCTCACACCATAATGCATAATCATTTTGCATGCTTGCAGATCTTCCCCCATTTTAATATTTAAAATTTTTTTTGAATAGTTTTTTCCAATTATCTTTCTTAGGGCTTTATGAAATGATTGAAGCTAAATAGGCAATAATACAGAATCTGTATTACATGCAAATTTACATAAAATCTAAATAAAAGAATCCTTTTATTCTAATTACCACTCTCATAGATACCACTCTCATGGATACCCAAGGGTAGTCACGGCACTTGCCTTAATCAAGAACTTTGCAAGATTTGTCAGGATCCCAAGAGTGGAGAAGTGGGTCACTACAGAATTCATTTCTTCTTAAAGACTTTTACAATATCCCGCAGCAGATGTCTAACTATTAACTTCAGCTTTGTAGAAAGGATATACAACTTCCAATAAATAAAACTTTACTATTATGGCAGCTAAGCTTCCGTTTTCTGATCTAGACTTTCATATTGAGGGAGCAACTTTCAATGAACAATTTACTACTTTCATCCGTTATCTACTAAGCCTAACGTTCAACACATTCCCTCACTTGCTTTATTCTAGTCTTCTAAAGAAGCCATTCATTTCAAATTTTAAAAATCATCTGATATTCCAACTTACCAATCAATTTCTCTCTTAAAAAATAAATCCAAAGGCAGAAGTGCAATACCCTCACAGCTAATATGACGTAAATAAGCTACAGATCTACTTTTTAGATTAACAAATGATCATTTAAACAATCTTTCAAAACAAAGTGCCCAAGCTTTTTAATGTTGTTAATATGAAGATTCTTTGTTCATTTCTTGTAATATCATACATAAACAATGATGTTTTCACACAAACATCAGTTACTGTACAATTATGGGCTACAAAACATGGACCTTTGGTGTTCAGTGGAATATTCCACATACTAACAAATGCCAAGAAGAAGTAAAGAAGTAAGAAAGTAAAATAGTAAGAAGAAATGCTTTTCATACTCTTCATTTGTATACAATCTCGACCTTAAAAGGATATATATATTTAGCAATTTAGTTTTTAGTTTCTAAACCATTTAGTTAAATGTCTTGTGAAACTAGGACTTTATTAGCAAAATACCAAAATAGCAGGAATTAGGGAACTAACAACTACCTTTTATGAACCTAAAACACAAAGTACGGCGATGAGCTGCAATCACTGTGAAGCACTGTTATATCATTTCAGTGACATGACAGGCAATAAGCTTTTCAATAATCATGGGGGACATAACCAAATGACATCATATCAATCTGGAAGTTTGGATACAGTATATTATGGTACTTTGTTTTCTGAATAAGATTATGTTATCATCAATTACTTTCTGTAACTACCAGTAAATTTGGTTTGGGAAGTGTTGTGAAAAAAAATCATAGAATCATAAATTATTTTCTACAAACTTGTCCCATGTTCATAGTTTCAAGTACAGAATTTTAGTGAAAAATTCCAACTTTGTGCAAATTGCTCCATGCAATCTGGGACAATCCTGCAGGATTGCATTCTTACAGCCCTGTGTGCATCTCAGGAGCGAATCAGTGGATAGGAGTTTTCTCTGTCCATGTCTCTCAAATAAAAAAGTGAAAAATTTAAAACATATACATAACAGCACTCATCAGGCTTAGAAAATACAACTTTTCAGTTTCTGATTATATTACAAATTGTTTTGAAAGAATACAATCTAAGCAATTGTCATTGCACTTAAGCATTGAACACATAGATAAACTTCAAAACAGAAATTGGCTCACATTTCCTCACTAAAATATCAATCATTTCCAATATATAAACAGAGTGTCGTCCAAAGGAATGTTTAGTAAACATAAATCATGGCTTCAAAAAAATCTTTAAGAACACAGGGGAATGATTCTGATATACTTCTAAGGGGAAAAGATTTTTTTTGAATGTACATAAATACTATAAACCTAGGTTTGCTTAAATGCCCACATACAGCAGAAAAAGTCCACAGACTGATATATATCATGTACTGTTAAAAGCTGTATTTTAATAAACTAATATCATAATTAAATAAAAATGGAATAAATTCAGGGAAACAAAAATATACCCAGCATAGTCTTAATTTTGCTTATTAATATAAACACACAGCTACATGGAGATTTTACACACAAACATACATACACAGAGACACACAAATGCAGAAAGACTAGAAGGAAATAAACCATAAGTGCTAATAATATTTCAACTCTGTTTTGTGAGCGTCAATATTAGTGGGTTTTTTCCTTTGTTGTTTTTCCAAAGGTTGCACAATAAATAAATATCTGCATTATAAAAAGAACAAATTCCCCCCTCCAAAAGAAAATTCAATATAATAAAATAGCAGAAACACATAATCTGTTGGGTAATGTACACATCAACAGAAAATAGCCTGAAACTGTCAAAGAACAAGAGAGAAAGCTGTACTTGTAGAATAGTAATGGATCAGCTGGGCTGATCCAAAGTTAGGAACCACAGGCTTCCCCTGGCTCTCCCATGTGGGTCAGGGAGATATGGCCAAGGACCTACGTTATCCTCCACTGCTTTCGCAGGCTAAAAGCAGGGAGCTGGATCAGAAGTGGAGTGTTGGTGCCACAGGCAGAAACTATAGCACCACTATACTACAGCACTGGTCTTCCTATATTTATATTTTTAAGACAAGTCACATTCTCATGGTTTCACTGAATTAATTTTAATTAAATCCTAGCAAAACATCCATCAGTAGTAAATTTAACATCCAAACACCTCATGGGAGTACTATTTTACCACTTAGGGCCTGGCATGGTAGCCTAGTATTTAAAGTCCTTGCCTGGCACACACCAGGATTGCATATGGGTGCTGGTTTGTATTCTGGCAGGTCCACTTCCCTTCCAGCTCCCTGCTTGTAGTCTGGGAAAGCCCAAAGCCTTGGGACCCTGCACCTGTGTGGGAGATCTGGAAGATACTCCAATGTTTATAAGTTTTACACTTACACATCTATCTCATACTGTGTCTCAGCTTTTCTCTCAAAACATACAGGAAAAAGGGGACTAGCATTGTAGTGTAGTGGGTAAATTTGCCACCTGCAAAGCAGCATCCATAGGGGTGCTGGTTCATGTCCTAGCTGCTCCACTTCTGCTAACATACCTGCTTTCCCAGGAGGATGGCCTAAGTGTTTGGACCCTTGCACCCACATAAGGGACCCATGCAAAGATCTTATCTTCAGCCTGGTTGAACCCTGGTCATCATGGCCATCTGGGGAAAGAACCAGATCTCTCCCTCTGTCTCTCTCTCTGCAGCTCTGACTCTCAAATAAACAAACATCTTTAGAAACAAGCAAACAAAAGCAACACACACACACACACACAAAATAAGTGGAGACAAATTCCTTAGGAACAGGGGCTGTGGCTGGCTCTAACCTGGCCCGGCTACATGCAGCTCTCCGCAGTTCTTGGACGAGCTGCCCAGCACACTCGGGTTCCTTGCTGGCTGCCTGCAGCAAAGCCTTCCTGAGCATATGCCGGCATTTCTTTTGACGAGATTCTGCCCGCTCCAGGCGGCAGAGGTGCTTGTATTTCTGCTGAAAGTAAGTGCAAAGTTGGGTCACCCTGGAGCTCCTACTCTCGGTGTCATCGTCATCTGACCTAGGAGGCAGACAGAGAAGTGAAAAACAGATTAGGCTCATTTTAGAAAAGCACCAGAGAAATAATGAATAGTAGCTTGATGAGCAGGCTTACAACATTAGTCTGTGAGACCTGTGGTTGTCCCTGCTTTGGACTTCACATTTGGAGTTGCCTGGGTTCAAGTCCCCAATTTCCTGTTGGTGTATAACCTTGGAGATGGCATAACCCAAGTCCTTGGGTGCCTGCCATCCATGTAGGAAACCTGGATTGTGTTCCAGCTCTGGGCTTCAGCTTGACCCAGCCTGGCTGCTATAGGTACTTGGGAAGTGAACTGGCAGATGGGAGATTTTGGTGTCTCTCCATCTCTCTCACTCTTTCAAATAAATAAAAGAAATAAACAAAACTTCATTTCCTATGAAGACATACTTAGCAAGAATTAGAGAATTCTAATATGACTGAAAATAGCATGATATTTCTCAACAATTACCAAGCTGATAGGAACAAGCCAGTGTGTTAGCAGTTTAACCTTAACATGTAGGCATTAGTGCTTTCAGAAGGAAGTCATAGAGAAAAAAAAAGCATTATTTTTCTGTTATTTCCTACAAGTCAGAGTAAAGGACATAGTTGTTATGAGAAAACATGCAGCACAGTTTAACCCGGCATAGACGGGTCGTACAGAAACACAGCCAAGGAATTTAGCAATACAGTATCCAACAGCTGCCCATGCGGCTTTGAACTACTGTTTTCTTGTGTTGGGGCTCCATGAATCTGGTACCTCATCAAGTACAACCAGAAAAGGATCCTGAGCAGCATTTCACAGGTGAGCACCTGCACATAGGTTTTTCCCATCACGCGGTGACGTCATGACTGCTGTGGGAGGAAGCTGAGGGTTCTTTCACACTCACAAAGCTGTGGCTAGTTAGCAATGTCCACTATCGGTGAGAGTGAAAAATACCACTTCTTTATAAGCAATGTGGTATTGCTCTCTGCTATAATAATGTACACTAAACATGAAAACTGGTCAGTGTTATTTTCTTCCTTTGGTATTGTAACATAAAGTAAATTCTACACATGTCTCACTACAGACTATTAATTATTGAAAGTGTTTAAAACCATTGCTGGATTTTTCTTCTTTACTTTCATTACATTATACCACTTTCTTTCACAATAGTCAGTATTAGGTTACTTCTGTTAGTATCTTATTCTCTTCTTCAGTATTTGTGCTATATGCATACACTGTATCTTTGATCTTTCAATTATCCAACATTCAACATTTATTTTGTGTCTTAATATGCTGAGCACTATGGAAGAGAGGACCGAGTTTCAGAGTTTTACAATTCAATGTACACAAAATAAGCACAAGAGGATCTATCAATCATTACTGGGAGATGGTAACATTTGGCCTAGTGGTTAATACACTGTTTGGGACACTTGCAACTCCTATTGGAGCACGTGGGTCCAAGCACTGCCTCTGCTCCCGATGCCAGCTTCCTGCTGATGCTCAGCCTGGGAAGTGGCAGGTGATGGCTCAAGCACCTCAGTTCTTGCCACTCATGTGAGAGATCCAGAGTGAGCTCCTACTGCTGGCTTTGGTCTGGCTCAGCCCCAGCTGTTGCAGGCACGCTGGAATCTCCATGAAGTAAGTCCTAGGAATATTTATTTTGAATTATCCCATAAAGAGTCACAGTAGGTCTAAATTTGGGAGTCCTGATATAGCCAGTAACTCGCGTCTACTGTGAGAAGAGAAACGGCAACTTCCACAACAAAGCTATGAAGAAAGTACCAGTGAGGTTCCCTGGAAAGTTGGCTGGTCGGGAAATTCTAAGGAAGAGATGATGATAAGAGAACCTACAAGACGAGGTGAAGTCAAAAGATGTGAAAAAAGGATGCCTCTCATAATAGCAGAAACCCAGATACAGAGATGGACAGGATGTGAGCAGCAAGTACTCAGTAGCTATCTAGGAGCAGAGTGTTAGGTAAACTTTCTAAGCCTAAACAGAAGATGAAAAGTTTAACTTTTATTTCACAGACAACTAAAAAAAAAAAAACACAAAACTTTGCAGATTTCAAAGAAAATTTAGTATGCATGAGAAAGACTATACTTTCTTTCTTTCTTTTTTTTTTTTAAAAGATTTATTTTTATTATTTTTCATTGGAAAGGCAGATATACAGAGAGGAGAGACAGAGAGGAAGATCTTCCGTCCGATGATTCACTCCCCAAGTGAGCGCAACAGGCCGATACTATGCCAATCCGAAGCCAGGAGCCTCTTCCGGGTCTCCCACGTGGGTGCAGGGTCCCAAGCCTTTGGGCCGTCCTTGACTGCCTTCCCAGGCCACAGGCAGGGAGCTGGAAGGGAAGCGGGGCTGCCGGGATTAGAACCGGCGCCCATATGGGATCCCGGGCGTGCAAGGCGAGGACCTTTAACCACTTGCGCCACCGCGCCAGGCCCGAAAGACTATACTTTCAACAGATTCGAAATACAGAGAGGAAAAAACAGAAGATAGCATGTAACAAAATGAATATAAAACCCAGAGAAGAAATCACAATGACCAATGGCAGAGAGGAATCAGCAGGATGAAAGTAATCAGCTGAAGGGGAAGATGGAAGGCACAGTAATCCCTCTACGGCTCCCACGAGCAGAGACAGGGGAGGGGCATCCCACGTGTACAGTGAGCAACAGGAGCAACTGGCACACGAGGGGCAGAAAAACTCCACATCAAAACAGAATTCAAAGAGTAGACAGGGCATCAGCTGAGCTGTACAAGATCCGTTAGAAATGGCAACACAGCATATCCGGGGAAGAGATACAGATTTCAGTCAACAACCAACAACTGAAAGACAAGGCAGTGACAGAGGAAAATGGCATAGATACCAGAGAGAACAACACACACAAAAGCCACAATCATGAAAGAATTAACTCAAATCGGCAACTGGATAAGAAAGAAACAAGACAGTCAGTAATGACTCAATGGTTATGAATCTTCAACTAGCAGCAAGGAAATGGTATTAATGAAAAAGAGGAGGAAAGATGCAGGTCTTAGATGCAAGTAAAAAGAAAAAGATGATCACTTGGATCCAGCACAATAGTGAGTGGTTAAGGTCCTCGCCTTGAATGCGCCGGGATCCCATATGGGCGCCGGTTCTAATCCCGGCAGCTCCACTTCCCATCCGGCTCCCTGCTTGTGGCCTGGGAAAGCAGTCGAGGACGGCCCAAAGGCTTGGGACCCTGCACCCACAAGGGAGACCTGGAAGAAGTTCCTGGCTCCTGGCTTTGGATTGGCTCAGCTCCAGCCCTTGCAGCCACTTGGGGAGTGAACCATCGGATGGAAGATCTTCCTCTCTGTCTCTGCAACTCTCTGTATACCTGACTTTCCAATAAAACAAATAAATAGATAAATCTTAGAAAAAAAAAAAAGATGATCACTTGTCAAACTGTTATTGCTGAAGGAGGACAGACCAGACAAGTGTTTCTCAAGCTAACCATGGAAAGATACATCTTGATGTTAATGCATGCTATAGAACTATGAAAGTTCTTGAGGCTTATTTCTGACTCAGAGAGAAGCAAAATGCTGCAAGACAATATCTATATGTATGTATGTATCTATCTATCTATATCTATACACATACACACGTATCATACTGAAAACTAAAATCTACTAAGAAAAAACATAAAAGGATACAAACTAGAACAGTATCCTCAACTCATGGATTGGAAAACTTAACATCATTAAAATGTCAATCCTACAATTGATGTAGATTTCTAAATCTCTGCTTTTCAAAAAATTAATAATGAAGAAATCAAAGCAAGGAACTTCAAGAACACATTCTGGCAATACACAAGAATATTTCAAAAATATTTATGAAAAATTGGAATTAGAAGTTAGGTATTTTGGTACAAATGCTTTTGAAATGCATGTAGTCTTTTTGCTTGTTTGTTTGTTTTCACCATTGACATTGTTTGTGACACAGATACAAAGGCAGACAGGGAAGAAGAGAGCTCTGAGCTGCTGGTTTACTCCTCAAATTCCTGGAATAGTTTGGCCAAAGCTTAACTCAAGCCTCCAACTGAGAAAAGGTAGAAAACCACTAGAGCCAGCACAGTTGCCTCCCAGGGGCTGCGAAGCTGGAGTCAGGATGCAGAACTAGGCCCTTATTCCAGGCACTCTTATGTGGAATTAAGTGTTCTTTAGGGCAAATGTCTGCTCTTCCATCAACTTTTTAGAAAAGTTATTTATAGGAAAGGCAAGTAAAGACAGGCATTCAGAGCTATTCACTATAGTCCCCACATGCCTGCAACGTGTGGGGCCAGCAGCCAGACTCAGAGTAGTTCTCCCATGTGGGTGGTGGTGACCCACCTGTTGCAGCCATACCCTGTCCCCGCAAACAGCAGTTTCAGCAGCCAGAGCTGTGTATGGAGCCCAGGCATGCTGGCAGGAGACACAGACATCTCAATTGCTGCCTCAATGACTAGACAGAATACCCATCTCCCAAGAACTCTCGGAAGTACCCTCTGTGTGTGATGACTAGTGTCTACAACACATAATGGGTTATAAGAAATTTTTAAAAATCAAGAATACAAACCAAACAGATGGCAAAAGGCTTAAAAAAACAATTTACATAAAGATCTCAGAGTAGTTAACAAGTGCATGAAAAGGTGCTGAACATCATCAGTTCTCAGGGAAATGCGAAGTAAACTGACACTGACACTTCATTCTCTATCATCTAAAACTAACAAACAAGCAAGCAAAACCTGACACCACCAAATGTTTGAGAGGATACTTGGTGATTGGAATTTGGGACAATGCTGGTGGGAATATGAAATCTACAAGCACCTTATGAAACTGTTAAACCTCTTGTAAATTTAAATATCCATCTGAATTACACTTCATGTTACACTTAAAAATGTGTAAGTGACACAGCGGTTCAGTTGTTGCTTGGGATGCCCAAATCCCACATCCGAAGTGCCTGGTTTGATTTCCAGCTAGTCTGCTTTCAAATGAGATTCCTGCTAGTTGCTATT